GAGGTGTCTTTTTCACCTTTGCTGCACCACAGCTGCAGTTGTTTATTGCATCTCCTACTCTTGAGTGTATTTTGCAAAAAAGAGCAATCTGAACAGCATGTAAGAAACAGAACATTTTCATCTGAAAATACCATGAGGAGAAAAGCAAAATTATGGAAAAATACTCTTTCTTGCGAAGAATGTTTTTTGCTGATAGAATACTTTTGTGTTCTATCAGGAAACATATGGTACTAAGGAAGAATATTAAATATTTTTGCTCTGTATGAGTTGTTGATGAAACAACAGAATACTGTATTGTTCAGATATATCTTTTTTTTTTTTAATTGAAAATTTGTAAAATGTACAGGGTGAAAAAAAGACAGGAAAATATTCTAGGCCTAGATGTCTCAAGAGTGGTCTGACAAACTCAATCTATCCAGATTAGCAACCAAAATTGAGGGCTGACTTGATGACATTGTTAATGTATCTTTTCAAGAAGAAAATACCAGTTAATAAAGAGCTCTTCAGCCTAGCTAAGAAAGGCATAAAAAGAGCAAATGGCTAGAAGCTGATGCCAGACAAATTCAAATGAGATATAATAAAGAGTAATAGTCACGATAATTAACCACTTGAACAAACAACCTCCCCCAAGTTATAAAATTTTTAGATGAAAACTGAATGGCTTTCTGAAATATATGATTTAGGTTTAAGTTCTAAACTTTGCTAACTGCAGAAAATTCCTTGCACAATCTTAGAAGGTCTGACCAATGAACAAAATTGTGCCTCAAAACTTAAAGTTTTAACACGTGGCAAGACATACCTTTCAGAATGACACAACCATTCAGATCAACTGCTTGTTTGCTCTAATTGTCTTTTTAGCATTCTCTTAAAATGGTAATTTTGTGAAACAGTTTTCTAATGCTCTGCCTTGTTACACAAAAGGTTAATTTCCCTACAGAGCGATCAGGTAAAAAGCAGGTGAAAGTTGCATTTAAAAAACCCACTCGTTTCAAATAGCATTTAACATAAAAAGGGGGGGGAGGGGGGAAGGGAGAAAGACACAAACGCCAGCCGGTAAGTATTAAAAGCGCACTCTGGAAACCTCTGTGATGACAGTTTGAAGAAAGCAGCTTTTATGTGTACTGAGCCCACCTCTACAGTGTCTTTTAAACGCAACTGTTTACCTAGAAAATATAAGCAAGGGCCAGAATCTGGACTAGAAGAGGCATCTTTTGATTGCAGACACTGAACTGAATCCTTAACTAATAAATTGTTCTACACCTTTGTCTGAAACAAGAAAAGCAAAGGTCTGCATTTTCTCACAAGAATGCACAAGCCCCCTCAAAAGCAATATGGTTTTCTACATCTAAGTCTCAGTATTTGTTGACTTAAAGAGTTTGTATGAATGACAATGCACATCACTGGTTTGTTACTTCTGTCATCTGTGCTACTGAGTGTACCTTGACTCAGATCAAAGTTGAAAGCTTCTTAAAAGATACACAAACCACAATGTGACAAATAGCATGCTTTGTTTGACACAGCAAACAAGAAATTACTTTCATCAACCCAGGAAAAGAATCCTGTGTTTTCAGTGCTAATTCTGAAGACCACAGCGATGGAACCAGAGCTTTACTTCATCCGCAAGGAATGAGGACCTCTCCAAAGACAAACAGAGAGAAAGAAACAGTATCAGTGCATTAAATGCTGACAATGGTATGAATTCGAGGCTTGTACTCTACAGTACATTTGTAGGAAATTCACCCCTTACATAATTAAAGAGATTTCCCACGAAGTGGAAAATGTCTCCATTAAGCAAATATTCATCTAACCGGAAATTACACATTAGAACACACACAGCACTTCAGATACATCCAAAACTAAACATTCATACATCTACAGCATTACACAACCTAGTACCATCCACAGTTATTACACAGGCATCAGAAATACTGCAAACCAGATGTTTTGGCCTTGTTCTTTCCACAGTAAGTGGAAGTACTTAAGCAATTTCCAACTCATTCTTATAAAATATTTGGAAGTTTTTACAAATACAAAGCACTTCAGATCTATAAATCCTAATATGTGCATTATTGGAGTAAAAAAAAATTTCACTATGACATAACGCACAATAAAAATTAATGGTCGTGCATGAAAACACATTTGGCATGGAATCTAATTTGTTCTAAAAATGAACATATACAAATTTCCCCTTAAATTAAGCTCTCCCTCCCTGAGAAGATAATAATAAGTAAATAATAATATTTACTTCACAGATTTTGAATTCAATTATAAACCAGTGACAGCCTTTTCACTACTTGAAAGGGCTTTAAATGGGACTTAATAACATCTCTACTACCATTGCAAACTAAAACTGTGCAGCTTTCCTACAGAGTTGGGAGTACCTGCCTGAAAATTAGCAGAAACTGACAGAAAATTCAAACTGTAAACAAAAAGCACAATGAAAAATACATAGTGTGTGTGTGTACACCTATGTATAAACAAATATGCATATTAAATATCTATGAACAAATAGTAAACAAGGGAAAAAATTTTCAAACTTCTGAGAAGAAAGAGCAGACCACTGTATTTTTATGATTAAGAATGTCTGACTCTTAAAAAAACCTTTAACTGGGCAACTACAAAGCTTTGCAACACAGTGTTCCTTACTGAGTCAAAGGCACGGCTCACATGTGCAGATTTGCCAAAACCTGCCTTCCTCAGCCAGCCAAAGTAGTTCAGGCTGGAATTCCTCGTTAACGCATTCAGACTCAGCTCTCATCATTTATGACAGCAGTGCATTTGATTCTTAGAAGAGTTACTGGCTTGTACACTTTTAGCAACACAAATGTCCTTATTTGCAGTGGGAAAAAAATCACTATCTCCACACGTGCAAAGGTCATTACACATCCTATTCTCTGTCCACACCATGGAGCTTGGTTTGGAGACAACAGCACAGCCCCACATCACTGTAACAATACTGCATAACTCCTTCCAGCAATAAGCTTACAAAATGTGTAGCGCTCACCATTCTTGCTGTTTACACTACAGACTTTACTTACCATAGCAATATAAATTTTATAACATGTTCTTTTAAAAATGCTGTTCAAATGTTGATCAATTTGATGTAGGCCCCACAAAAGTACTACATTCCTTTCAAATACATTATTTTTATTACATTCCTCTAACATGGCAAAGTGTAAAAACACATTACAGACAATATCATGGTATAAAGACCCAGTTTCAGTGAAGCTCATTACAGTTGCTATACTAGAAAGTTTACTTCCAACCTTTACCCTACCATTGCTGTTTCTCTATCAGATTTACTCAACCCACACAATTGATTAGCTCTTCCTGAAAAGTTACTCTCCTGCCACTGATGACAGCAAGCCACCTGCCTCTGCTAATTAGCAGAACCATGCTCGGTTGCCACTCTACAAGAAGAAAATGGATTGTCTCTTTGGCTAGGGTATTTTGTTCTAGAACACCAGAAGCTGTTCAATCCGTGACTTACTCCTTCAAAGAGGCTTTAAAACTCACTACACCGTATGTACCTCAGAGGAGTGCTGCGAACCTGTGGCTAAAATCCTAATTTTTCCTTAATCTTCTTAAACAGAATTCTGTAAAACTCAACCGTTCTAGACAGATCCATGACTTCAGCACTATTTAAACACGCAATTAACATTTTAAAATTATACACATGGATAAAACCAGGTATCATTAGTCACTTATTAGTCACCTTCAAAACAGGGAGCGTGCTCATTATGTTAATGTCCTTGGAGTGTTTAAAGCAACCTTTTGCATTTGAAGTGGAAGCTCTTGGTAAAAGGTGGCACTTAATAAGAAATGGCAATTACTGAGGCATGGTACCCTCAAGAAGACTGCAGTATGAATTTTAATTTCTTCCTGACCATGAATCAGCTAAGGCTAATACAGACATTTTAGTTTAGAGCAGTAGGAAGTACAGTAAAAGTGAAAATCAAAATAAGAAACAATACTAATCTTTTCTGAGTTTCAATTAAGGCCCAGCACCTCTGGATTAAAGGCTTATTTTAATGAAAAGCCTTAATTAAGCATACATGTGTATAGGATCACCTTAATGAGGTATGACACAAATAGAAGAGATGGCAAACATTATTTTAAAGGAAGCTTATTAACAACTTGAAGAAATTCAGCTAAGGATTCCTAAAAAACAAACACAAAGTAATGCAATACTGAGGAGACACAGGAATGCTGGACCAAGTTCAAGCATAAAACAGAGAAACCCAAATAGGTACAAGCAGTATTTTTCAGTATCTTTGTATTCAAATTGATACATACTGATGATTTTTCTACACATCAGTGGGTTTATTTCTGTAAATATTACAGCATTTACATTTCAGACAGCAGAAAATCAAGTTTTCTACTTTGTTAAATAAAATTTATTACTAAAAATCTTTAGAAGTTTATACTTTAAAATATCCCTTTATGGTATTACTGAGTCAGGTTTGGTGCCAAGCTAACTTGCAAGTTCACTTTAAAAAAACTTGTTTTACCTTTTTATTTCTGTCTTTAAAAACAATCAGTGATTTAATGTAATCTTAAAGATAGACACTTCAGTTGCTTTTTACATCTTCCCCTACAGTACACAGAGGTATTCTCATTTGCAGATTTGACTTTAAAGTAATTACTTATAATTACAGAGAAGAAGTGCATCCAGTGGATTAATCACTCCATTTATATGCTACTCGAAGGATTACTCTCAGGACAGCCTCATTGCTTTTGCTTGGAAAATGTCAGTTCCACAAGAAAACAAATCTCTCTAGTTGAGATTGATCTAGCTGAGGAGGACTCTGACAACTATTTAAACCCAAAAGATTAAAGAAATGGCACACCTGTACTTGAGGCAGCATCTGTACCTGTCCTCCTCTTGGGAAATAAAGGGCTGCCAAGTGAGAATAGCCAGGAAAATGTCTAGAGGAAGCCTACACTCCTATTGGGGACTGAGAGTACCTTCACACAGTTCTGGAACTGAAACACATCAGGGGTTATTAAAAACAAGGGCAGTTCTTCTGGCTCAGGAAGCCACACTGAAGACTGGGAAGTCCCTGAAGGAGCTGCTGCTGTACACTAACCCTGGTCTTACAGTCTCCCCAAGCCATCTGCTTTTTTCCGTGGGCTAATATGGGACGCTAGGTGACAAAGACCTTTTGTTTGATCCATATGGATACCACTCATTTGTTATCTTTGTATGGATATTTTTTTTCTTTTTAATGGTGACTCTATAGAGTTGCCAAAAACACAGGTCATCCAGAACAGCAGTGATGTAGCTTCCCTTAAAATTTAAAGCTACCAGAGTGTAACTTCAAACGGGCTGCCCTGACTTTGCTAAATGGAAGGGAACACGTAAATCTCCACCTTACCGTGCCATGATTAGAAGTGCAGTCACGACTACCGAAATAATCACCTTAAAAGTGGTTTTGATGCCAAAGCCACCCATGACTGAACTGATCCCCGCTGGATCATAGATCAACAGCCAGCTGGCGCTAAACTATCTCAAATAGTGACTCAGTGTTCATCACTAACCAGGGAAGCTACTGGAGCAAATGGCTGAAGTCTGTGCATCTCTGCCACCATCACTGGAAGTTTTGAGAAGCTGGAGAGCTCTGCTAAAAGGTCACTGCTGAAGAAAGTCCTTCCATGTATGATAATCGCACAGCGAAAAATGCAAAGCGGAAAACAGCCTTCAGGTCAAAATGTGCCGGAAATTCCGCTAACGTGGGCTACCGACGCCCGCATTACACAGGGGAAAACACTGACGAGCGAGGACGAGATACAGGAAGGCCATCGACTTCAGTGGCGGAGGGAAATGAGCACGGAGCCAGGGGCAGGGCCGGGAGCGCCGGCGGCCTCCCCCCTGCTGCCGCCCTTCCGCGCCGCGCCTTCCC